GGTGTTACCTATTCCTGCCAGCTTAGTATCATCTGTATGTTCCCCTTCTATTCCCTCATCTAAATCATTAATGAAGATATTGAAGAGTACTGGGCCTAATGTACTGGACTTATGACCATTTTTCACACTTAACACTTGCAGCATCCCCATGGTCATGTGATTAAAATTGAGGTGCTTGGCAACTGACTCATATTTATGACGACTGTAGTGTCCTGATGATTGCAATGATCACCTTTTGCGATGTTCTGAACAGCAAAGTCAATAGGAAAGCCAGATTCACTTAATAATCAAGTTATTAACTCAACAACTGTAGTGATTCACTTAACAACTATGGCAAGAAAGGTCATAAACGGGGAAGAAATTCACTTAACAAATGTCTCACTTAGGAATAGAAATTTCAGGTTTAATTGTGGTCATAAGTCAAGGACTACCTGCATTTATTCCATAATACTTTTTATGTTTGCTTTTAGAGAAGGGAATGTACATCTAAAAATAGTGGTATGATTGTTTCAGAAGGAAATAGACTACTACCAGGGAACAAGTAGCTTGGTGCTATCCTGGTGATCTCCCTGTACTTGAATTTTGTGAGATAATTAAATCTGCATAGATCCTTATTCTTAAAAAGACAGACTTTTGCCCCAGTGCAGCAGAGATGCTTACAGCTACCTCCTGGATTTCTGAACAGGAACTTTGGGAAAGTATTTACATGTAAATCAGAGTGGTGCGGTTGCATTGCAGCATTTGAAGGTGGAGCTCTCGCCTCACAATCAGGTGGCTGTGAGCTTGATCCTAGGTAGAGGCCGATATTTCTCTCTCTGGGCACACTGGGTTATATATCTGCTGAAAAAAACTCTTCATTGGTGACAGGAAGGGCATCCGACCAGTAAACACTCAGCTCCATTCAGTTGCTCAAACTGCGAGGTGCAGAGGATTATGGGGTTGTTAAAAGAGGATGATGATGATTTACATGTAAATCTCAGAAATTTGAATTGATTTTCATTGTGCCTCTAAACAAAGTGCTTTTTTTCAACAAGTAGCTTTATCCTGAAGTCATGATGGGATGCTAAACAGAAGTGGGTTGCACATACTGTAACAACTGGTTTGCCTAGTGCAGAACTGAAAATGTGAGCGTGCATGTGCGCACCCGCTTCTCTCTTGCACATGGCTGTAATAGCAGGGGGATTCCTTGTGTGCGCAGCAGTGGTGAGTAGAGTGGGCAAGGCACAAAAATCAGCTGGGCTGCGTGGGTGGGGCGAGCCAGCCAGATATATAGGACAGGATAGCACCAGGGCAGGAGGACAAACCTAGCCGGTGGCCAGAACTACAACCCTAACCCTAACCCTTTTGGCTAAGATCGAGCGTAGTGTAGTCTTGAATATCTAACATGCCTAGCAAAAATAACAGGGACACTTTTCCAACAACAAAAATATAGTATCCTAAAGGCACAAAAAGCCTTCATTTTCTGAATAAAAAAAATTGCAAACCTTTTAAGAACATACAATATTTAGCAATTATCTTTTACTCATCACATTCATCTTTCAAGCATTAATATTAGAATAAAATCAAACAATAGTAATTCTCATCCAGATAATTCAGTAATCTATAAATGTTAATTGCTGAATGTATGTAGATAATGGCAGGAAAAATGAAGTAGAAAAATACTTAGAGCAAATACATAGAATTTGTATTTGTTTAAATAAGAGTGGGCTTCTATTCACTTTGTTTTATGGATATTACAGCCAAGTATGTTGGGAGAAACTAAAAGATAAAAGCAATGAAAATAGAGTGATGAAGAAGCTGCTGGTAAAACAAGAATAAGATCAAGAATATATTGGTGCTAAATGACATGAATTGAGTAAAAAGGCAAGTAACCAGCACAAAAGTACATTGAAAATGTTTGGTTCTTTTGAGAAAATGGATAAATGAGCACTGAACTTGAAAAAAAGGATAAATTTGAATAACAAAAGGTGAATCAATGTGTGAATGTGACAGTCCTCTTAGATTCTCAAAACAATGGCTCAAAAGGTTTCATTTTGTCTATTCATTTTGCCTGGGTCTTGATTGGGAGAACTGACTTACGATCATTCACATTTTTGTCACCTTGCATTCCAATTACTGCAATGCCCTTGGTGACCATTCAAAAGCTTTGGCTGGTCCAAAATGCAGGTGTGTCAGTAGTTAAGAAGGTCTCTGTGTAAACTCCTATTCCAAAAGCTGCACTAGCTTCCAAGTACAATTCAACATGCTGGATTTTTTCCTGTGTCTGCATAGTCCTTCACAGCATAGGAAAAGGAAACTTGTGAACCTCTGTCTCTATGTACATTTGCCCATCAATAAGTTCTGATATTTGCAGGACCCAAGTTATGTATCTTCTCTGTTGCTGCTCCAACTTTTTGGAAATCTCTTGAAAGACAGATGCTCTTTGGAATCTCTCCATCCTGCTTGCCTGGAAAGTATTAAAGGTCATTTTTTATTTTTATTTTTTTAAAATAAATTTTATTTGGGTTTTCACAAAAAAACAATAATACAAATAAAACATCTTTCTTTGAGAATAGCCTGATCACAGGTTATCACTTCTTCATACAGACACAAACTCAATTTCATGTTCATCCTTGTATTCTGTTCCATATCTTATTACTATTTAACATTTTCTATGTAGTTTTCCCCTCCCTTGATTTTCTCAACTTTAAATTATCCTATATCTCAATTCAAATCATATTTGTACTTTTTGTCTGTCCTGTTTCAATTTCATATTATCTTTTCCAATTAAACAAATTTTCCCCTGTAGTTACTAATTGGAGTATGACCTCTTTATATCTTTTAATTTTATCCATTCAACTCTTAAACTTCAATTTATACCTTTAAGATAATAACAATCAATATAATACATAACTTCCAATCGAGTTCTGCTTGGTACAATCTTAAAGTACACACTATATTCTTAAAAAATTATATATATATATATGTAAATAACACACTCATTCCATTCCAATTCAATTCTCTTGTTAATATTCATTAAAATCTTGACATCTTTTTCTTTTCAATAGAATATCATACTTCCTTGTGAACACTTATAAACTTTCCATAATTGATTTTTTTTTCATATTTCTCTTCACTTATATTTTTATAAATCATTAATAATTAAAATGTTCCCATTCTTTCCTAATTTCATTCTCATTCACTTTCTTTCATTACCTATATTACAATATTTTATCCATCATTTTAGTCATCATATTTTCTAAAAATTATTTCTATTTCTAATATCACAATACTATCTTATGTACCATTGCAGAATCTCTTTTCAATTAAATTTTCACACATTATCTCTAAACAGGCTTATACTTTCAATACTCATACCTTTTCCCTGTTTCTCTGTATCTTGTTTCTGTCTTTTATAACTTCTTTTCTTTTCCTTCTCCCCCCCTTCTTCTCCCACCCATTTTCCCCCTTGTCTCTCTACTTCTAATTCTCTCTTCTGTGATCCCCTCTTCTGTTGCTTTCTAATATTGTAATTATTTTTCCAACTATTCTTTTTTGTTGTTGTTTTTTCAAATCTTAGACTTTTCACTCTTTCCCCCTTTCCTTTTTTCCCCCCACATAACATTACTTGATCATTAAAGATTGTCCAGATCATCTTGTTGTATAAGTGTTCCTTGTTGTTTCTCATAGTTCCAGATCTCCATTTCTAAGAGTTGAAATACGAAGCCAAAAGAACCTCTCCCTTCTTGTGCATCTTCTTTGTATTGTTTTATAATTTAGTTTTTATTGACATCATTGTTATTGATAATGTATATTACTCTGAGTCACAAGCTAAGTAGAGAAATATAATCATACTAAAATAATCTAGGCCAAGGGTCTTCAAACTTGGCAAATTTAAGACTTGTGGACTTCAGAATATCTGAGCTAACATGTTTGAAGGAGGAATTCTGGGAGTTGAAGTCCACAAGTCTTAAAGCTGTCAAATTTGAAAACCCCTGATCTAGGCTTTCTTGCTTTCCACAACTCAGCTTAGCATAAAATGTATATATACATGTTCTGTCTCACCTTCCTTCTTTCCCAAAAGATGAAAGAGTACAAACTCACACAAACACAGGCAGGCAAGCTGACTCGGACTTCACAGAGTTAGTTCTTTGGAACTGATAATGTCCTTGGCATTCCAACATGCTCTGCCTGCCAAGTCCAAACTGATAACAAGTAAAAAGCTACTTCCAGAAAATTACAAGACAGACCACAAGAATCATTCACAACGAAAACCTGAAGTAAGATCAAACTTTGTCTTGTACAAAGTTCCAGCCAACAACACGCCCACTTTTATCCCCTGTGGGGTGTGGCTCAATGACTCAGCTCACTCTCTGACCCTCCCACGCCTCCTACGTTGCTGCTCAGGTTTCTTCCTATGACGCTGCCTAGGATCAAGCCAACATTCTTCCTCTTGACTCCCCGTCAGGGCCTGCTCCGATATGCCTTCCTCCTGATTAATCTCAGGCTGTTCCTCTCGGTTGTCTGGTGAAACCTGAGGCATTATCAGGGAGGAAGGCATTGCCAGAGACGAAGGTCCTGGGGAGGAAGGCATTCCCAGTTCCTCCTCCTCATCTTCCAAGTCCTCTTCCTCTAACAGCACAGACTTGGGAATCAGAGCCACAACATATACATGCACATTGATCAATCTTTTTTATATTCTAGATGTTCCAGAATTTCTATTTCAGCTTAGAAGCACAGAAAACAGCCTACAACATTCACTGGGGTTTAACTCTATTGTATGTATTTGAAGATTGCATTCTAAAGAAAATAAATAGCATGTCTATCAAGTACGCATTCATATAGCTATAGGCCAAAGAATAATTTCCCATACGTTAAAAGAAGCATTCAACTCTATTGCAGCTTCACAAAAATTAGAAGGTCTATCTAAGTTACCAAGGTTGTTACTTTCTGATCTTACAGAACACTAGTATCTTGACGTCCAATGGTCCCCTGTATATTTACTGTTCGTAGTTTCAACGAACTGTCAAGGCTCCAGAACCGAGAAAGCTGCTCCTTGCAAATTGAGTATAAGGCGGCTTATCGCACTATAAACAGATAAAAAAAACCCTGCCAATTTTCTATAACCCGCCTTGGCGGTTTCAACAGCCTGACGTTGCAGAAGTCCTGCGCGCCGCTAAATGCAAACATACGAAAAAGCAAACATTCCGCCGGCGGTGTCTTGCCCGGCCCACCTTTTGGGTTCTTTCCATTTCCCCGCACCTGTGCCCTGCCTTTTATTAGTCCCAAGCGTAATCTCATTGGAGCTGTAGAGTCCTCCCAGCAGCCTGGGGATGCTCTCTGGCCGAATTCTCACGCGCGCTCTTCCTCTCCTTCCCGCTGCCATCCATGGGATTGCCGAAGTGGGAGGGGGTCGTGGAGGGCGTTTCCCCGGTCGCCGCGCGGCGTCACTCCCAGCATGCAGCGCGGGCCGCCCCTGCCGCCACCGCCGCCGCTCCTGTTCCTGCAGCCGCCGCTGCCGCCGCCTCTCCTCCTGCTGCCGTCACTTTTGCAGCTGTTGCCGCCGCCGCTCCGGGGCTGGAAGACATGGCGGAGGGAGGCGCGGCGGATCTGGAGACCCAGCGCTCGGATATCGCGGCGCTGCTCAAGACGGCTCTCCGCAAGGGCGACACCTGGTGAGGAAAAAGGAAGGGATGGCGAACTCGGGGGGGGGGGGATGTTTGAGGGCCCCTCTGGGTGACAGGTGCGGGCGGTGCCTGCCTGAGCGCCTTTTGGCGAGGGAGGCGGCAACCCTTCTTGCCCCCTGTTCGATCACGGGAGACGCCTTCCTGTCCCGGGAGCAGGTTTTCGGGCACCCTTTTTTGTCCCTCCGGTGCCTATGACGGGCTTTGCCTCAGCGCGCTGCCGGCACGGCGCTAAACTCCTCACCTGCGAGGACGCAAAGGTGGCTGCTGCCGCCAGGTATTTTCTCCCATTGTTTCAAATGGTCGCTAGCAACCCCTCCTAGGTGGAGGAACGGCATGAGTGAGTACTTCGGGCAAGGTTCCTCATTCTTAGAGCAGCTTCTCAAGGAACTTCCGTGGTAAGGCCTGTCTCTCTGGACTGATCATCAATGGGAGGGCTGCGGGCACTTCTTGGGTTTATATCTCACCCGTTCTTTACACAACACTCGGCTCTTCCCTCTCTGCCACTCCCTTCAGAATCCCCTAACTTCATGGTCATAACAGTGACTGCAGAAAGGAAGGGAGTAAAACAGCAATGGAGGGTTAGATGAAGGTTTATAAAATTATGAAGGATGCTGAGAAAGTGGAGAGAGAGTAATTTTTTCCTCTTAAATTCTAGTACCTAAAATCTTATAATCTAAAATGCTAGGAGAGCTGGGGCAATACAGAAAAAAAGCTTTATGTGTTTTTGTTAAAAGAACTCATTGCTGCAGAGTTTATGTCCATTAGTTTAGTCTCTAAAAGGAAATTACTGTATACCCATCTAAAACGTCTAGGTTGGCTGCAAAATCAGACAAGATGTCACTTAAATTCAGAGCAGTTTAAGAACTGTGAAGAAAAAGGCTGTTCGGTCTCATACCGTGATTTAAATTTTAGCTACATAAATATCAATGTTTTATTACTTTAAATTTGGATTTTATAACCTTCTGTATTAATATGTTAAACCTTAGCTTACTAATATTTCAGTATTTATGGATTAAGGTACAGCTTACATTGCCATAAATATATTCCTCAGAATGGGAGGAAAACAGTAGATTGTGCACACTCAGTCCTAATTTTCCATTCATCGGCTTCTGTAGGAATGGAAAAAGTGCAAACTAGAGACTCACCAACATCCCTTTTGCAGCTCCATGTGCACTCTTTTCTGAAAGGCTGGGGTCATAAATGTGTGCATTTTGGGTTTGCAAGGATATTAAACTTGTAACTAGCATATCAAGTCTTTGTGAAATACACATTTCACTTCTTAACATTCCTGAAGCCCTCTGCCAAAATGGGTTATGGTCCTGGCCACTTTCAGAGGTACAACCCTCCGCATCCACAGAAATCTTGCTGCAATCCTTAAGCCAGCAGAAGTTGTATAGTCCTGCACCATACAAGAATTGATTTTGCAGTATTCATTGAGGCCAGATTGGCTTGGAATTCACTTAATGAGTATACATATTGTGGCAATAGGAAGTACATCCAGTAGAGAAATAGCAATAAGTAAAAATGCCAGTTTGCCTTCTATTGCCATTGATTTTGTGTGGTGAACTCCATGCAGATGACCAGATCCATCAAGTACATGAATCAGCTTAAGTTTTTGAAAGTTATTTTGATATTAACAATCTAATCATATACACCTGGAAATATGTTCTATGAATTTTACCTTTCAGTAACAGAATTTGAAATTAGAGCATTATTTTTAAATGTTACTCTGCACAATTCTTACAGTATTTAATGTCAAGTGTATATTTTCACCAACACAAACAATTGTTAAACAATTTGGCTTTATGTTCTTGCATGTTGAATTCAAAGGTGTGCTCTATACTGCTCATATATAAAATTGTTGATGGGAAAGGAAATAAGCTTAAATTGTGACCGCATATTAAGTCGGTAAATCACAATTTAGTGCAATTTTTATAAATTTGAGTTTTGGGCAGAGATAACTGCCCAGATTCTATTGGAGGAATTTTTTTTCATGGAGAAAAAAAAATGAATAGCTGAACAGTTATGTTTATTTCTACATAAACATAACATTTTAGTTACATTTTTTCCAAAAGTTTAGAATGGCATACATCAGTATTTGGTTTTATTTCTTGATAACCATACAAGATTTTAGCCTAGGCAATTATTTACTACATACAAATTCAGTACCCTGCAATATTTTGCTGTGGTACATTTTGTACTCCATATGCATATATACTTTGTAATGTACTCTACACAATTTTATCTTGTTTCCAGCAGAATACAAGATATTGTACCCCCTACTTACTGAAATCAGACCCAGGGTTAAGGCAGTTCATAATTATAACTATGTTTCCTTGGTATTAAAGACTGAAAGATTCACAAAATTTAGCTAGGTTTTACTATATACAGATTATTTCTGTGTGAAGTTTGGATCTCTCTGGAGGATCTCTGGACAGATGTTTTAAAAATGTCAGCTATTGTACTTTTCATTTATATTGTTATTAGATTTGGAAACGGATGTTTTGGAACTGAACCTTAATTGCCAATATTTAGAATTACCATTATATTAGCAATTGTAATTATTAGGATAATAAGAGAAATAATATGCTTTTACCTTACTAGTTTTCAATATTTTCTCTCATTCCAGTGATGATATTATAATTTTATAAAGTTAAATTCTATTATTCACATGCTAACAAGTTTGGCATGTTTTTTTCTTTCATTATAAATAAAAAGCTGGTTGCTTGTAATATGTCTTAGACAATTTACCTGTAATTCACTTCAATTTGTATCTTAAATATATCTTCCAAATGTTTTGTTTCTTAAAACTGTTCATAATTCTAATCCTTAATTTAAAGCTAATTTATTTCATTAATCTAGTTTCCAGTCTTAAATCATAGGTGAGTGCCTATGAAGCTTGAATTAAAATAGCAAAGGTTTAAAAGCAGAATAAATCCACCTGAGTATTTCTAGATAATCTGGTATCGAAGTGATGATACTGTATCTAATTGGAGAGCCAGGAATAATCATGGAAGGCTTTGGCAGAAAATATTTGGAAAATTGGAATGTATTGTACTTCAGATTCAGAGTCAAAAGGTCAATGGGAATGGGTGTGCATAACATATCTGTTGGTACCTCATTTAAAAAATTGCAGTTTTTTTCTGGGCTCCCACAGAGAAATATTTGTGTTAAGAGTAATTGACAGCGCGCCACTCCACTTTCCAGATGATCTCGTTGCATCCTCTTGATGCTCCTTAAAGTGCATGTTTTCCAGTGATCCACAGCTACAATGTGAAAAGAAAAAAAGCTGAGTTTCTTTAAGGAGTCACTGGTAACAGTTGTATGCCACAACTCATGCCACAGCTCCAGGCACTCATGCAACAACTCCAACTAGTTGTCCTAGCACGTCTTATTAGGCTTCTTTCCTTTTCTGCTTGATTTGAAATTTTTATTTGAATGCCAAAATACTCCCAATAAACAGACATTTCAAATCCCCCCCATATCTATGGTATAGCATAATTCATAAAGGAAAAGGAAAATTGAATATCAGTAGCTGATCCATATCCTCACAAACACTTTGATAAACAGGTTTAAGAACAGAGTGATATGTTCCATATGAGAACTCAGTATAAATGACGGAAGGGGAATAACTAGTTAACTTCTGAAAACCAGAAAAGGATAGAACCATTTCATCAGATTCCCAATTGTATTAAAGTAACCAATATAATGCAAGCAAAAAAAAATTTTTATCACCTTGGTATGGCAAATGGTAATAGTGAGAATAACCTGTTTCGTTTGATTTCAAATACAATATATCCAGAGAACCTAGATTTGCACGGTAGACAAACACTTGAGCAACTTGTCTAACAAACACAAACATCTGGATTTGTTTAGCTGCTACCTGTGGCAGGAACTAAGTAGAAGTAAAGCAATATCAGTATTTTTTTTTAAATTTCTACAGAATGTGGATTTGCTTAAGATCCTGCTTGGTTATTAAAAATGTATGTCTAAATAGAGTTATAAAAATATAGCACCAGAATTGTTTATTAAAAATGTGCAAAGTTTTGATTACTAGACTCATGTCCTGATATATAGTGTCATCTATGGTGAGAAACTATGTGAGAAATCATGCAGGTCTGTGGAATTGTTTCATATATATATATATATATATATATATATATATATATATATATATATATATCTACCATGTTCTTTTGAAGGTATTTAGTGGATAGTCGTTGGTTCAAACAGTGGAAAAAGTATGTTGGATTTGACAGCTGGGACAAGTATCAAATGGGAGATCAGAATGTTTATCCTGGTCCTATTGATAATTCTGGACTTCTCAAAGGTAATTTACTTGTGTTTGCTATTTTAAAAAATTCTGAGATGTCTCAGTATATTAATAAGAAAGTTTATTGTTGCAGTTTTCTCAGTGGCTTCACAGCCTGTGTCCTAATTCATGGGATTCAAATATTTAATTTAAAATCTGCAAGAATATTCATTGCAATTAGCTAATATTTCTAGGATTTTCAAAATATTCCAGAATTTTCATAAAACAAGTTTCTGCTGCCAAAGAGGGAAAAATACAAATTATTTTGTATTGAAAAAGCAAAATAAACTTTAAACTTTCTGAAATTTAAAATAGAAGATGAAAATATATTAAAAGTTATTAAATTGAGGTTTCAGTAACTTGAATAGTTACCCTTTGTGTATCAAATATTGTGGATTAGTAGAATAGTATATTTCTAAGAATCTCTTATAAAAATATTTGGGGGGACAGTGTAATTCAGAAATTGGCTTACTTCCATCATAGATTAAGTTATATTCATTTTTTAAAGTTTCTCAATTGTAATCTCAATGTTTTAACACGTGTTCCATATTGGCTATAAGTAAACATGAATACTTTTTCCTCATAGATGGGGATTGTCAATCTCTTAAAGAGCATCTTATTGATGAGCTGGACTACATTCTTTTACCAACTGAAGGGTGGAACAAACTAGTTAGCTGGTATACTCTTCTGGAAGGTCAAGAACCTATTGCACGCAAGGTACCTCCTATAGTAAAACACTGAAATGTTAAAAACAGTATTTGGAACTTCTTTGTTTATAAGATTTCCCCACCCTCCTAAAAGAACAAAAATATTTTTCCCCAAGCCACATTGAACTTTAGTTAACTAGTTCTGATATTAACATTTAAATTTGTTCACTGTTCACAAAACTCAGAACAAAGAACTATCCATCAAGTATTTCTTCTATTAAAATATCAGTTATCTCAAATCCTAGCCTCGTTGTCATTTGTTTCTCCTTGAGTAATCCTAAAATATTTCTGTTCCCTGTTCTTTGACAATCTTCTGTAGATAAAGTTTAAATCTGTTCGTTTCTTGGTACAGCAAAGCAAATTCTAATCTAAGTGTATAGGTAATGCATGCTAATTTCATTTAATTTGTACTTTATTGTTTATATTTCTTACCTGGTCCTTTAAGTCTGCACTTAACTTTTGCATGCCAGACTCTATGGAGCATTCTGCGTTACTAACATTTGATTTTTGCTTGTTGTAACAAGATATATAGCTGAAGTAGCTATAGCTGATACATTTTATTAAGATAATTATTTGACTGTACTGTTAGTTGTAACATCTCCCACTTTTGTATATCTCTTCAATCTTCTTCCTTGTGGATATGTATGGGTTTTCCCCCCTAGGAAATATTTCTTGAGGTAGCTTCTCTTTGCCATTATCCATACAAGCTCACTGCAATAAGATTGTTAACTTAATCCTAAACAATCCATAGTTGTTCAATAAATATATGTTTTGAAGAGAAGTAATGTATAAGCTTAAAATTTCAGTATTTCTTTATACTGAACATTTAAATGGCTAAAGTTAATGTTACAAAGTGTACCTATTTAGCTATGAAAATACTGGCCTTTTAATTTATCATTTTTGTCTGTGAATATTTTTTATACTGAAATAAATAAGTGTGAATTCATATGCATATTTAAGTTCTTGATCAAAATACAAAACTTTAATATAAACTGTGGAAGTTTAATTCAGTGCTAAAATATAGAAATTATTTGATGGTAATTGAAATAATTTAGCTTATTGAGGATAATAATCATTTAATCCTAATACCTTTAATAAAGTGTGACAAAATAAGTTATGTTTTATAATATATAATACATAGATTATGTTTTGTAACGTATTCTATAATGCTAAGTTTTTAAACTGCATAACTGAGAATGTTATAGATTACTGTATTTCTGCTAAAGTTAAAGATTTCTGCAGGCCATTTAAATATTTGTGCATGTGTGATACATGATTATGGTGGTTTCAGAGAATTCATAGATATTTTTCACCAAACATACTGTCACAATTTACAGTGGCTGATTTAATATGTTTTGTAATGTAAATTACTTTTTCTATAACTTCTTATGGTGACTTGTTGGAAATGCATAAACCTCTAAATATCTAAATATTCTCACTTTTTTCCTAAAGAAAAAGACAATAAAATCATTAGGAAAATGATTTTTGATGCTACAGATTTAATGCTTCTTTGAAACTCTGGCATGCACATGGGTCTATAACTTTAGCAATAATAAGAAAAATTTATAAAAATACAACCTTAGTGGTAGACCAGTAACCATACATATAAATATTATTTGGTGTTCAAGCTTTATATATTAAATTCAGCTTTCTTTCAAAAGCTAAGGACATTTGTCTTTTAATATACCCTTCCCCCTAGTGAGAATTCATTGATTCTGTTGCTATAGCATATGATTTCTAGCAGTTATTTGGTACTTCCTTTTTTTGCCTTATTTGATGAATCACATACCAAGCTGATGGCTATTTTCAGGACAGTCTACATGGCTGATTTATGCAGTAACAGCATAGAAGATCAGATGGAATTATACAAGAGGTGATTGTGAACATTCTGCTTACCTCAGTTTCCAAGTTTTGTTGGCTATTAGTAACTTATGTTGAAGAATAAAATTAAGATTGTTTTCCTAAATAAAAATGAACTTAATATATCCAATTTCAAAAATATTGCTGGTATCCAGTGCCAATAAGCTATTTATGTTGCTATTGTGAATAGTATTTTTTTTAAAGTAGAGTGTAAAAGTAGAGTTATAAACCTATGTTTAAAATGGAAATTAAGTTTTGATCTAATTTTCACAACCTTACATGGCTTATAAAGCATCTAATTCTAAAATAAAGGTTGAACATCTGAAAATTGTGTATTATATATTTAGGAATGTATATATTCCATTCAGTTTTGATCTACTTATTTTCCAGGTAGTTGAACAGGGTATGTTTGTCAAACACTGCAAGGTGGAAGTTTATTTGACAGAATTGAAATTATGTGAAAATGGAAATATGAACAATGTAGTGACACGAAGATTTAGTAAAGCCGATACAATAGGTATGACTACTGAAATTTCTTATAACTATGTAGCTAAATTACTTTTAAAAATAAGTTATTTGTCATGCATTGCTTCCATAAAATAAATGTCATGGTATATCACTGTATTAACTATTGAGTTTGATATATTAAAATGATCCAAACGTTACAATTTTAATTTTACAAAGTATACTGCATGCACTAATTTTTCTAAAATGTGTTATTCTTATTTGACCATAAATGGAAAAACTTTCTCTAACATAAATGAAAGTACCTTAGCCCACAAAAATTAAATTTTCCATCTGAAATGCGTAACATAATATCTTTCAGACATTGCTTGAATTTCTACATAACACTAAACCAAGCTTTAGTAATTACTGTCCTAGCTTTTTCAATTCTAAATGAAGTCTAGAGCTCAAATAATTCTATTTCACTGAAACAAATGGCTGATCTTATTACTTAAAAATAACCGTGTGTAAAGGTATGGTCAACAATCAAAATCATTTGCAAACTTCTTTTAAAGTGTCTTTTTAAGTTCAGATTCTTTTTTGCTTGTAATGACAACATTGAATCAGCAAATTTACTCTAATTTTGTAAGAAACACAGGCCCGGCAGTCATAGAGATTTGTTTACATTATTTATCACATTTTTACACTGCAACATTTCCATTGGACTCCCTATGGTTTCACAGTAATACACTATTCAAAATAACCTACATTCCAACAGAAAATTTTAAAAACAAGCATCTGTAAATGCTTCCAGAAAGACCCAAATACCCCCAGAAAAGCTCATTTCTCGATGAGAAATTATTAGCCCTAAAGTCATGGCTAAATCTGACTTCCAGTGGAGACCATTCAAGAGGATCAGCATTGCTACAACAAAGTAGAACTTCAAGGCTTTGGCCCCACTCACAACCCAGAAGTAGGTAAACTTCAGTTATTTTTCCGGACAATATCAAATAGGTTGGATTAAATCAAGCAGATGAACATGGTTCTAAAAGTATATCTAAGCCACATATATAAACATCAGCAGTTTACATTGCTCTGGAAGCTTATAGGAAGCCAATATAGAACACAGTTGTAATGTGTTCCAGTTGACAAATGCTAGATAATAAATGGTCTCTAAAGGCAGCTCTACATAAAGTGTGTTGCAGTAATGTGTGTGAGAAGTAGACAGGAATCCCTATGGCAAAGTCCTCATAGAACCTGTTTTTCAAGCAGCTGGTAGCATTTCCCTATTAAGAGTCACCACTGGAACCACTTGAATCCCCCAATGAATAAACACCTATTATGTCTTGCTAAGATTCAATTTTAACTTTATATTCTCTCATTCAGAACTTTACAACCTTTAGACATTGGCAAGTGGCTATCTTGGGTTTTGCCTTTCATTGCAAATATTTTTAGTGATAATTTTGATACACATTTTATATTATATATATTTTATTGTGCATTTCTTTGCATTATTCCACCTAGGAATCCTAGAATTAAAGTACTTTAAAATAAATTATTTACCAATGTTTTTCTGTACATGTAGATACAATTGAAAAAGAGATAAGGAAAACCTTCAGTATTCCAGATGAAAAAGAAACAAGATTATGGAACAAATATATGAGTAATACCTTTGAACCTTTGAATAAACCAGACAGTACCATACAGGATGCTGGTTTATACCAGGGACAGGTATGATATATATTTCTGGCCCTAAATTTGAAAATATAAATATTATTTATTTTGATTATGTTGACTGATAGTATGCTGCCATCTAGAACCTCCTGTTTCTTGTTCTCTAGGTCAGGCACAGGGCAGTATAGACTAACTGACTCTATTGGTGAACATGTGATTGAGAAAGATGCTGCAAAGGTCATAATTAATTGTAGGCTTTAGATGAAAAGAATCTTTTTTCATGACCATTGCAACTTTGAACAGTAACTATCTTCTAAGTGAGGTCTACCTGTATACCAGAAATGATACTTTACCAACATTCTAGAATGATTTAAATACAGTTTTTGATCTGAATTTAATGGGTAAGGTAAAAATGTTAAAATGCATAATATTGGCATAATTGAAAAATCTATCATTTGTACATGCTTCAGCATACAGATAAGTATAGTCTTCAACTTATAACAGTTCATTTAGCGAATATTCAGTTACAACAGCATTGAAAAAAGTGACTTATGACTTTTTTACACTTATGACCATTGCAGCATCCCCATTGCCATGTGATCAAAATTCAGATGTTTGGCAACTGGCTAATATTTATGATAGTTGCAGTCCCAGTTGATCACTTGATCACCTTTTGTGACCTTCTGACAAGCAAAATCAATGGGGAAGCCAGATGCATTAAACAACCATGTTACTAACTTAACAGCAATGATTCACTTAAAAACTGTGGCAGAAAGGTCATAAAATGGAGCAAAACTCACTTAAATGTTTCACTTACCAACAGAAATTTTGGGCCCAATTGTCAGAAGTCAAGGACCAACTGTAAATATAAATTATGCCCCATTGTTCTAAACTAAATGAAGTTCATGTTTGTCTCTTGTTGCCTATAGGTATTAGTGATAGAACAAAAAAATGAAGATGGAACATGGCCTAGAGGTCCTTCAGCTCCAAAGTAAGTGATTTAAAGAAATTAATGCCTTACACTTAATGGACTTAGGCTCCTTTATCCCAAGCCTTCTCTATTTTGGAAGCAACATTTTTGTAATTCAGAAAGATAGTTTTGTGAAATTATTTGGCTTAAAACTGTTCAGAGTGAAAAATGAGTGCTCTTCAGGATGGAAATTTAGTTGTGATTATAACTTCTAAGAAATTTGGATTAAATTTTGAAATAGTATTGTATTTTCAAGTGTGTCACCACTATTTATGTTAATAGTTATATTTGTTGCATTATGATTATTGGCTGTCTTTTGACCTGTATTGTGATACAAGGACTGAATAATTCGTTATCCTCTCATTAGTCAAAGCAATAAATCTGACTCTTCATATATCTATTCTTATGTTGAGGAACTTGCTTACAGTAAAAAATTACAGACATAATTCAACTAGATTAGTTGTGTTATTGCAAGTAAAAATATAGCCATATGCAGAAAGATTTGCAAAATACATAACTGTGTTCTAGAGTTTATTCCCCCCTCTACATTTTAGGCCAATCAAAATTTGGTTATTCTCTTCATAGTTGAAATAGGAAGACTCAGTGTTGACATGATTATGTCAACTTTCCTCATTTCTTCACCCCCCCCCCAAATATCTGGAGGTATTCCATTAACCTTTCAAGGTTGTTCAAATCAGGAAGCAGACTGTATAAGATAACTAGGCTTAAGTTTTATTGAGATGCTATATTGATGGGATTATGCAAATCTGTTTGGGTTTTTCCTGTCCTCTGTTTTATATCAGAGAATCAGGAAGTAACCACACTGAATCTCTCCATAATACTACCACCTTTTTCAGGGCTCAAGGATGCTTCTTTGTTTTTGTAACATCTGTTGTATATTTCTCTGAAGACCAATTCCATAGCTCTTTACAGATGTGTCCATCTGTGTTCTCTAGTTGTGGGTGGCTAAAAGATATTGTGCCTCCGCTTCTAATTCCATTTCTTTATCAAATGGAGCTCACAAGATTTCAAACATATCCACTGCTCCATTCTCCTGACTCACTATAATAAGGGAAGCATTCTTTATTTTTCCTTGGGCTAAGCTTTTCTTTGGCTCCCTTTCTAGCCTTTCTTTTTCTCTTTCTTCTTGACCCTGGGCAAGAAGCGGAAGGGTAGTATTTCGGTTGCATCAGTCACCCACTGATACCCATCTTTGAATAATTCTCTTATGTCTTTTGTTACTTCTACAATTGTTTTCATTCTTTTTTTCAACATATCCTCTCCTCTTTTGCACAGCCTGCTTGCATGGCTATCCAAGCTGATTAAGCTTGTATAGATTTTGCAAAGCTTTGGTTAAGGGAAATATAGGTAGTAAATGGGAGAACTCTGAAATGGGAAGAGGGGAGCAAAATGTTTTGTAGTAGATGTAAGTAGCTGTAGCTGGGCTGAAATGTTTACATCTAAGTGGTGGCATAAATGAATTTAGTCATAGGTAAAAGGTCAGGTTGATTTTTTTCCTGGTAGGAAAATACAGCAGTGTATTGCTTTAAGGTGACATTGTTTTCTCTCTGTTTCATCATCAATCTGTGAATTATGAGTATAGGATTGATGAAGTTTAACATCCTATGTATGAAATAGAAACTTTCAAAAAGCTGGCTATGAATTATGAGCCTCTAATAAAAATCAGATTGTGCAAATTGTAGTTCTAGACAACTTGAACAGATAAACTGTTTCATGATTGTAGAGGAGGCCACAGCACAGACTGAAATGGGCTGCCTTAAAGAAGACATCCATTATCACCAGAATGGCATCAGACCTTTATTGATAATCTTAGGCATTTATCTAAAGTCTAATGAAACTATGTCTCCTGGTTTATGAAGGAAAAGAATGGGATAGTCTACATAGTTTGTTTATTAGAAATTTGACATGATGACAAATGTAGGGACAAAATTCATGCCTTGACACCAACTCTGCAGTACATGGCAAAATCATGGCAAAGGGAATAGATCATTCTCTATATTGTAAAAGATTCAGCCATTAGGTCGGTGATTCTTCTTAACAACTATAAGATGTGTGGGCTTCAACTCATAGAATTCCAGGAATTGAAGTCCACATATCTTAAAAGTTCTCAAGGTTGACAAACACTGCGTTAGGTTGTCAAGTCAAACATTTTCTCCTCAGGAAAAAAGGGATACATACTTGGAAATAGTGGGGCAATCCTCTCTTTTCCCAATAAAATAGTGATAAGCAGGCAAAATTCTACTGTAAGAGTAGTTATGTAAGCCTGCACATGTATCCTGCCTTGTAGAAAAATGGATTTTATGAATAAGAGCCGTGGTGATGCAGTGGTTAGAATGCAGTACTGCAGACTACTTGTGCTGATCACCGGCTGCCAGCCGTTTGACAGTTCAGGTCTCACCGGCTCAAGGTTGTCTCAGCCTTCCATCCTTCTGAGGTCGATAAAATGAGGACCCAGACTGTTAGGAACAATATGCTGACTCTGTAAACCGCTTAGAGTGGGCTGCAAAGTACTGTAAAGCAGTATATAAGTCTAAGTGCTATTGCTATCTGCTATTTTAATTCCTGATATTTCTTGCTTACTATTTATTTAGATATTTTTTCCAAAATGCTTAACTTAATGATTAGCTGTTAGGTGGCATAGTGGTTAGAATGCAGTATTGCAGGTTAACTCACTGCTCATTGCCAGGAATTCGATTCTCACTGGCTCAAGGCTTCTTTACTTGCTTCTGAGGTCAGTAAAATGAGGACCCATATTATTGGGGGCAGTATGCTGACTCTGTAAACAGCTTAAACAGAGCTATAAAGCACTAGGGAACAGTATGTAAGTCTAAGTGCTTCTCCAAATAGCTAATTACTGTTTTACAATTGTCCCTGAGAATCTCTATTTTGCTGGTAATTAAACAGATATTTGAACCTGGCTTTCATTCCTAAACAGTCGTGCTTGCAAAAATCGTGTTTTAATGTGATAGCTATAGAATCAATGCTGTTGCTTTGCTGTTGAACATGCTCTCTGGGGTTGCTGGCAGTAGAGGGCACAAGTAACCCCTGAAGCACATTTTCAGAAAGGGAAACTAGATCAGTTGAAGAAATTATTTATGCTTACCAAAGAGTGTAGGATCTGACATGTTGATGCTGAAAACATTTTGTGTTATCCCAGGGCTTCTATGAAAGTTACTGTGAGCCCTGGATCCATCTTGGGACAGATTTTCAGGGCTGCCACAGCGGGGGATAGATGAGTTGTGGGAATGGGAGAGTAGCAAAGGGAATATAGCCACCACAACATTATTTCACGAGAGATCAAGGACTAGTTGTTTATACCTGGAAGTGACTGAAGTTTGGCGGCAACTGAGGCAGGAGATGGATTGGGCCATGCGATGTGAATGTCACTGAACGGGGCAGGGTGTGAGTATTAGTGTGGGTGGAGGAAAAAACGGGATTTCAGATTCAGGTTTTTCCAGATGTGCCAACATGACTTCTCTCATAAATTCTTACTTTGATGGACTTTGTCTTGGAGTTCTGAATTGGAAAGAGGGTTTACTTGGAATGCTGATAGTTACCAGCAAATTATTACTTGTAGTGTGATAGAAGGGTGAATTGTTTAAAATAATTATACTAACCCATTAAATTAAATTGCTATTAAACTGACATCTAAATTAATTCAATTTTAATTTTATATTGTATCATTTACTTTCTGAAGTTCAGCACTGATAACATCTCAGAAAAAAATGCTGATAATTGCTTTTTATTTTTTGATATGATGATATCTCCAGATCAGCCTTATCTGCTGTAGTTTGGAGGAGCTTTGGGATTATCAGTTCATTCCAACATCAAAGCAAACTGCTTCATCTCTAAGATTGTTTTCAATTTTTCTTTTGGTAATACAATTCATTGGGAAACTTTAAACCAATAGATTTGGCTCCAAATAGTGTTCATCTATAAATTATGTTATTTGATTGTTATGTATGTATGTATTATGTATGTATGTATTGATCTATAAAAAAATGAAGTATAGATTTTGCATGGCTAATTACATGGAATGTATAATAAAAATGTATTAATGGTCCAAGACCAAACATAATAAATACAAACATATGATAGAAGAACTATAATAAGAAATTTTAAAATAGTGAGAAAATCCCAAAGCAGTTAGTAGCTAATTAATAGCATAAGGGAGGAACCAGATAGTTTCCAACAGGCTGCAGCTACTGATAAGAATGTGGCAACTTTTTTAGAAGTTTCTGAAAAGTGATCATACAAGAAAAGGATAGTACCCTCCTGGTCACAATGAACATTAGAGTTATTAACAAATAGAAGCGCTGAACTTGATTGCCACTGAGTATACAGTGAACATTTTAATAGCAAATGTAAGACAGATTCTACCTACCAGTCTGAATAGAAACTAGTTTGACTTTTCAAAAATGGAGGCTTATATATCTACGTTAAAGATAGCACCCAATTCAGGCCAAAGTAGATACTGGGTGGAACGTAGAGCATCTAGGAACAAACCAGAAGGAAGGAACAATTATGCTATAAAAGGAATGGACTAGTAGTCACTTCAGCACTGAAAATAACATGACAGTGTAGTCAGCTAAAATATTGCTTTCTTTTATTTGTTCATGTTGATAAATTTATAAAGTGTGAGACTACACCTGGATCATTATATTTCCAGAAGAATATTGACAGCTTAAAGCAGGAAAAGAGGAGAATGAAAAGATGATGCTCTAATAGTGATTATCAAAGTCTATCAGTATCAAAGATACTTATACTTTTAATAGACAGATGATAGTCTAGATATCTCTAGACGAGTTTGGTGTTTAAGTGACATAGACCTGTTAACCATCACCATTGTGTTTTCTTTAAGTATGAACTCTCAGATATGTTCTTAAAGAGACTGCAGCAATGAAAATGATAGGACAATGTAGTTGATTGAAATACCGTTTTCTTACATTTGTTCATGTTGATAAATTTAACAAGTGTGATACCACATGTAGAGTACTGTG